GAGTATAGGGGCCGCAGCTAGGGAAGGGATTGAAGGAACACTCCACGGGAAGGAACTAAAACACCTCAGAGGACGCAATGGGAGACACAGTGGGAGGAAGAAAGGAAGAGATCAGTTTTTGTCTATGGGCTCCAGGAAGCAGAAGGGGAAACTTATGATGAAAGAAAACAGAAGAAAAAAGTGATTGAAGGTATCATGAAGGTGATACGCAAGGGCAACATGACACAGGTGGCAAATTTTCGGAGAATTGGGTGGTTCACAAAGAGAAGGAAACAGTCTCTCAAAGTAATTTTCAAGGCAGAATCAACTCGAACCATGATCCTGCAGGAGAAAGCATGGCTGAGAGACAAACTGGAGTTCCAGAGTGTGCACCTCAATCGAGACAGAACACAGGAGGAAAGGATGATACTGAAAGAGAGAGTGCAAAAATGAAAGGAGGAATGGGAGGAAATGACAAAGAAAAGCATAATAACCCAGGCACAGGTGGAAGGGCAAGCACACTCCCTAGAAACACCAACAGGACTCCAACCACGACACCCCCAAGGCAACTAAACAATCTAAACCAACAATCACACACTGATCCCTCTGTCCCCACCCCCACCACAAACCCTACCCCTAAAGCAACCCCCTATGTGCACTCTGCCCCCCCTCCCACTGCAACCCCCCATAGGCCCTTGCCAGGGTTCCTGCTCTCCCAACCCCAACATTCCCCCAGGACCACAGTTTCAGTTTTAGAACAGAAGTTGAAGGTTTGGTACATAAATGCAGATGGATTAACAAATAAATATGAGGAGTGGCAAGAAAGAATCAATGAGAATTCCCCAGACATCATAGCAGTTACAGAAACGAAACTCACTGAGACAATAACAGATGTAGTCTTCCCACCAGGACATCAGATCATCAGGAAAGATAGAAGGGGCAGAGGGGAAGGAGGGGTTGCACTGCTCATAAAAAAACAATGGAAATTCGAGAAAATGGGAGGCATAGACGAGATTGGAGAGACTACATAGTAGGTACACTTCAGTCTGGGGAGCACAAGGTAGTCATTGCAGTGACGTATAATCTGCCACAGAACTGCAGGAGGCCAAGAGAGGAATATGAAGAGAGCAACAGAGCAATGGTGGACACACTTGCTGAGGTACCAAGAAGAGCTCACTCGAGCAGAGCAAAGTTACTGGTTATGGGCGATTTCAACCACAGGGAGATTGACTGGGAAAACCTGGAGCCACACTGGGGTCCTGAAACATGGAGAGCCAAGATGATGGATGTGGTACTGGAAAACCTCATGCATCAACATGTTAAGGACACTACCAGTGAGAGGGGAGGAGCAACCAGCAAGACTGGACCTTGTGTTCACCCTAGGCAGCTCAGATATTGAGGACATTACATATGAGAGTCCCCTAGGAGCTAGTGACCACGTGGTTCTGTGCTTTGAATACATAGAGTTACAAGTAGAGAGGGTAACAGGAGTTGAATGGGAAAAGCCAGACCAGAATGAGCTCTTGGTTTACCCGATGGTGTAAGGAGGCAAAAATTAAGTGCAATAGAGAATGGAAAAAGTACAGAAGGCATAGAACACATGAAAATAGGGAGATTAGTCGCAGAACCAGGAACAAGTATGCACAGGTAAGGAGGGAGGCCCAGCGATAGTATGAAAATAACATAGCATCGAGAGTCAAGTCTGACTCGAAACTGTTGTATAGCCACACTTAACACTTCTAGCACACGTGCGTTGGAATGACAGACGAATGTTCACTCTGTGCACAAGCAAATCAGCACAACCTTACTATGTTTATAGATGGACCTCTGGCATGTCCCACTTAAAAAGCCGTTTCTGGTAGCCAAAGGAGTTACTGGTATTGCAATGCTCGTTAAATTGTTCTTAACTAAGCCACTACAGGAAACACTGGTATGCCAGCAACACTGTAGAATGTATACATAGACGTACTGGGGGTAAGGACAGCTGTAACTACAGGCTACCTTAGCTTGCCCTGGCTGGCTTGGAGTGCTGCTTTCAAGCCTGCTTGAATGTGCTTGCTAAACCCATGTCAACCACTTGGATATTTGCTTGTAGCAGGCAAATAGGCACACAGGAAACACATTCGTAAAAAGAGTGAGGAACAAATCTTGGAGTGTGGCACAGAGGACTGACACGGGCACTCAAACACTTATGTGGACTGGCAAAAACCGCCTCTATACCATAAGTAAATAGAGGCGAATGGCTGAGTTCCAAATCAAGGAAAGAGGGAAGGTCTTTATCTTTATTGTTTTAAATAGTAGTAGATTGTAATACAGTACATCAGAATGTAAATTGTTCCATTGTAATACCATATTTCATTGTTTTAAAGAGCACTAAACTGTACTACATCATATTGTAAATTGTTTTAAATTGGTAAATTGTTTTAAATTGTTGAATTGTAATACTGTAATCTTTATTAACTAATTCAATAGTGTAATAAGTCTCTACTAGACTTATCAAAACCATTTAACATTACCTGATATAATATTCAATTCTCCTGTACTCACTGTAACTCAGAATCTAATGAACATATGAACTATGTATTATTGCCTTACTATTAAGTTAATCTTCAAGTTTGCCCGAAATGCTCAGCATACAAAGCGGCTTTTGGCATGTACACCCAACTATTACATTCCTCTGTACAACCATGTAATTTGTCAAAATAAAAAACCTTAATCCTAATTATATCCATTTTTCATTTATTTACACTTGACACAATAAATATATTCACGACTCAACAACTATAAGCTAAGGACGAAGTAATTTTTTATAAGATATAATAGTGTGTACTGTATATGTAATTTTTAGGCCTAGCTATATTGATTACTTAATATATAATAGTGTAAACATGTTATCAGGCTTTTATATGTATTTAAAATGAAGAAAGCTATGATTCACTTTACAGCAGTCCGGAACCAATCCGCTGTATAAGCGGGACCCTCCTGTATACAGACATACAAAGTTGGTGATTAAATTATATGATAGTTGGGAATAAATAAGAACAGGTATTTACTCCTACTTATTGATTTACTCATGTATTTACCTTACAAAGTACAGTTAATCATACACAAAAAAATCTTGAAACACTGAATGGGCTATTTATGTATAACATATACATATGGATGCAAGCCCTCATGGGAGGTTCTATGATGCTAATGAGAAGCTTTGGTCCAAAGAATTGGACTTGCCCTCTCCTTTCCTGGAGTAAGCCTGAATGCCGCCCATTTTCCCAGGTACTGTATGACACTTGCAGGTTTGACAATTTCATATGAATGTAACAATTATATATAGATAAAAAGTTACATAATGCTGATAACCATATACACCTACCATCCGACTTACGACCGAGTTCGGTTCCGAGAAACCGGTCGTAAGTCAAACTTTACTACTGAATATCAACAAAACATTTTTGTAATGACTTTATTTTTGTTTTATTTTGATAGTTCATGTTACCTTACTTTTTTGTTTTATACTTTTTATACTGTAAGGTTTAGGATAAACACTGTGTACAACACAAATAGTTGTTTATTTCCCAGAAATTTGGCATAAAAAACACGGTCGTAAGTCAAGTGGTCGTAAGTCGAGCAGGTCGTACGTCGGATGGTAGGTGTACTTGTAGGGTGCTCAGAAAAACACACTATACGTATAATACTACTGAACTGCTTGGTTCTTCCTCCCAGAGTGCCTAGCTCACTGCATACACATACTTGCTAAAATGACAAAGGTAGTTACAGTTTAGCATTTGTCTAACAGTGACAATATCATGTAGGCTATTGATCTTGTTACTTTCACTATAAACATGTTTTAATTTACACACTTCATAGTAATGAACAATGAATTAGTTACTTAAACTTGTTAAGATCTAGCATACCTTGCTAAATTATAAGGTAATATCAATAATTCAAAACCACAAGAAAGTTACATTGTAGTATTTTTGTGACTTCATTCACGTCTGCATGAATTACTAATTATGATCACAACCATATATAAACATGCAAATAGCTCATTATCACTAACTTGTCTAACCATCAAAACTTTGCGGCCCAGTCCCTGGACCTATTATGTAAGTGTCTACGTAACATTTTCATAATAAACAGTTTAGTTTACTGTTAAACAAAATATCCGTGGAACACTTCTCTTCCCTTTTTCCCCAGTTATGCTAACCTTATAACTAAGCATTACAGCAGAACCCCCATATCTGCAGGTTCAGTTTTCACTGTTTCAGTTAACTATGGTTCACCTTGGCTCAAAAATTTTAAGGAAGAGGTAGATGCCCTCAGGCAGACGGGCATGAAGATTATCAAAAATATTCACAAAAATTCAGAAAGTGAGTTAAGTTACCAAGAAATAGTTAAACCTGGCAACATTTTGGCATAAATCTCATCCTCTTAAGATATTTCAAAAGAAAATAATAATAATAATAATAATAATAATAATAATAATAATAATAATAATAATAATAATAATAAAATAATAATCATAATAAATAATATAATAATAATGCAATATTATTACTTGATTAAATTAATATTATATTATTATTACTCATTATAAGTAATAATCATATTAATAAATATTAATAATATAATACTATTTATTACATAATTATTAAATTATTAACCCTTTCAGGGTTTCGGCCGTACTAGTATGGCTTACGCACCAGGGTTTTTGACGTACCTGGAGTTTACCTGGTACTAGTACGCCTAAATTCTAGCGCCCTCAAATCTAGTGAGAGAAAGCTGGTAGGCCTACATATGAAAGAATGGGTCTATGTGGTCAGTGTGCGTGGTATAAAAAAAAATCCTGCAGCACACAGTGCATAACGAGAAAAAAAAAAACTTTGACCGTGTTTTTGGATTAGAACAGCGAATTTGCACTGTATTTTTGTATAGTATTTATTGTTGTATTCTAGTTTTCCTGGTCTCATTTTATAGAATGGAAGACATAATACAGAAATTGAGATGATTTTGACTGGTTTTTACAAAGAAAACTACCTTGAAATTGCGCTCAAAGTAGCAGAAATGTTCGATTTTTACTGAAGTTCAAAAGTAAACAAATCATGCTATGCGTCCAATACACGTCAACTGGTGAGTCTAATATTCTTTCACAAGTGCACTGATAATATTTATACCATTTCTACACCAATGCAGTAGTCTGCATAACAGTAAATCTTCTATTTTTCTGTGAGAATAAAAATTCAAAGTGGAAAGCAAAAGAATGTAAGAGGGGCATGGGGACGTGACTAATGAACAGAGGAAATGTTATTTTGGTGCCAGGAATGTCTTTCTTGTTTATTCTGGACCCTAATTGGAAATTGGCATCTTTTGAAATTTGTGTGAAATTGGCAAAATTGCTAAATTCTGAGCACTGTATTGGATAGTTGAAATCGGTAAATGGGTGGTTTTTTGTACTCATTCGATAGAAAAAATGGAGTTCTAGCGAAATAGTTATGATTTTTGTCGACAAGTACAGTGGAATTGGCCGAAAATAGGGCTCAAAGTGGGCAAAATCGCCGATGTGTAAACATTGTCAAGACCGCTAACTTCGCGAGAGCATAATTCCGTAAATTTTCCATCAAATTTCATACTTTTGGTGTCATTATGATGGGGAAAAGAATCTCTACCTTTTCATAAGAAATTTTTTTTTTTTTTTTTTTTTTTGAAAGTTGGCCGACCCTGAGAACAAGTCTCTGAGAGGGCCTGTCAACCCTGAAAGGGTTAATTATAATAATTAATAATTATTATTACTTAATATACTATTAAAAATCAACATTCAGTATTTGGCATAGTTAAACAGTGGAAGGAGCTTATCCCACACAAGGAAGAGCTGAGGCAGCAGCAAGGCTCAGGGCTATGTTCATATCTATATGCTCTAATATCGTCCATACCTTGTTACATAGATGTGCATTAGCCACACACTGCCCACACTAACTGATCATTCATCCCTCCCCCCTGTGGCTACATCCTCACTGTACACTCGGCAATAACCCCATGCTCACAACCCCCAGCCATACCACCTGCCTCTATAAATCTCCCACAGCCACACATCTTCACACACACCATTCCAACTAGCAACCTTCACCCACACAACTCTCCCACAGCCACATGCTTTCACCCACACCATCCCAACCAACAACCTGCCCCTACACAATCTTCCCATACAATTCCCCCCATGGCCACATGCTCACACCTAAACTAATCCCCCACAATCACCACTCCCTCATGGCACATATCCCCTATGACCTTACCTGCAAACCTTACCTGACCTTTCACCCTAACATGCCCTCCACATACCTAATCACTTTGTTACCCACCATGCTCATTACCACCAACTGCACAATTACCCATCCAGTCACCCATCATCAAGTCACCACACACACACACACCAGGCCACTGACAAGCACACATTTCACCCACACCACTCTCCCACAGCTTCATGCTCACAGGGCCCCACACCTCACTCATGCTTTCACTTACCACTTCCCTATAGTTTCTAGGCCTCACAGTCCCACACCTTACTCATTCTTTCACTCACCATTTCCCCCACAGCTTCTAGACCTCACAGTCCCACGCCCACACCTTACCTATGTTTTCACGGCCCCCACACCCCAACATGTCATTTACACTCCTAGTCATGTAGACACCAGCCATTCCTATTACTGTCCACTTTCACCTGCACAGTCACCCATCATCCACACTACCACCCATACTGCCACTCACATCACCATCACACCTACTCATTGCTTCCAGCCTCTATCCCTAAACCCCTCCAAAATCCACTATCACAGGTATGCATGTAAATGAAAAACGACATACATATATAGTATAAGGTTCGCTACTATCTGTGGCAGGTCTTGGAATGTAACCCCTGTGGATACGGGGGTTCTACTGTAATTCTGAATTGCTTACAATTTAGTTTAACAAAATTTATTTTAAGATGAACTGTAAGTCTATACATTCTGTCTCTACAGTAATGATTTCTATTATTAAATTATTTTTGAAAGTAAACTTTGGAAAGCTCAGTTTTACTAGATTACTTTTCATTAGCAAATTCTTCAAGAAAATATAGATATGCTACATAAATTACAGCACTTATTTGAAGATTTTAGAAAGATACTGTCCAACAGTTGCCCAAGCACTCCGTGGGTTGGCTTTCTTCTCTATTTCTATCTTTTTTATATAATCCTCAAATGGGTCAAACCCTTGATCAGCTATCTTTTTCATGTATTCTGCTTCTTTTCTGACTTCACATAGCTGCTCCACCCGCTCTCTCCAGCCTGGCTGCCTTTGTGACTTCTCAGACTCAATCAGAATATCAATGTATTCCACTGCTGAAAGTGGATTTGGCTTGAGAGCAATTTCCTGCAAACGTTCAAGTGACTTTCTCACTGATTCAGTCATCCCGAGAACTTTCAGTTGCACTGCTTTAAATTCATCTTGAATTTTTGCAATAAGGTTCTCAGCTGACAGTTTCTCCTGTTTAGCTTTCTCATAGTGTTCTCGCAAGTCAGTAGCTGTCTTGGTTACCGTCACAGTTTGAGGAACATACTTCATAGGGAAGTTCTTGTGTACTGACCAGTGGCAGTTTTGGGGACAAACAGTACATTTACCTTCTGACATAACCATGCATTTATATTTCATTTCATCTTGAGAACGACTGCAAAGTGCATGGCAGGTACGGTTACACTGTTGACAATTTGTTACATAATGACCACGTGGAACTGGAACTGCAACAAACACTTCTTCCTGCACTGTATAAGTAAAATTTTTATTTTTGTCTATGTCAACTTGATGAATCCTCACTATTTCAGCTTCTTTCTTTAATGTTTCCAGAGTGCTGAGGCCAACCTGGATTTCTAAATGTATACCAGTGATATAACTTTGTAGCTGACCCCGTTTATTAAGGACATCCTGGGTAAGTAAGAGGCTTTTACTCTCAACTACATTCATCCGTTGCAAAAACATTTTAAAGCTCCTTTCTCCCATCTGCCAAAACATTTCATCAAAATTACCATTGTTTTCCTCATCATCACTGTCAACTTCAGTAGTAATATTTCCTTCAATCTCAGTTTTGTTAGCATACAGAGCAGAGTTGTTAAACTTAAAGAGTTTCTGGTATGGCAAACCAGACTCTATTATACTACTCAGAACTTGAGGTTGTTGCCCATCAGCAAAAGTGAGCAAGAGAAAAATGTTATCCTTTATATCCTTGCCAAACAGTGAAAGGATCTGGTCAAAAATATACTTCTGTGTTGGAGTTAGCCGTGGGAGTGAGGCCTGAACTACAAAGCCTACAGCATCAATGTGATCAATACCCTCAGTACCTTTGGTTGTAAAGAACCTGTGAATCTGATTGGTAATGTGCCTATCTCTCATCACTCCCGAGGTGTCGCCAAACCCTGGAGTATCAACAATGGTCAGGGTGTGTGGAAAATTGAAACCCTCTTGATGGTGAATGGTATAAGAAGTTATGTGCTTAGTCTGACTCTTTGCTTGGTTGCCATCAGTATCTTCTGATATTAATTTGAAGCGGAAATCATCCCTCCAGTTAACACCAATGATGTAGTTAATGAGACCATTAATCAAAGTTGTCTTGCCTGATCCTGTTGCTCCAACTATCAAAATTACTTTTTCTTGCACATTATGGAGAGGTGTTCCAAGTTCATATTGCCTTATTAGATCTTCCTCTTCTGACATAACTAATTTTGGTTGAAGCATATAAATGCAAGGAGTACCTATATGGTCAGGTTTTAAAGCAGCACAAAACTTTTCTTTGACCATTTTACTGCTCTCAGATTTTATAGCCCCATTATCAGTTTTTTCCAAAATGTTATCACTCGAATTGCTTTCCACACTGTATCCTGCATCACCAAAATAAGCAGCTACCTTGAACTTAGGGACAGTGTTTGGTGTAACTTCTGCTCTATACACAAGTTCATCTGCTTTTGTGATTGCTATTGTAATCCATTCACTTTCCTTTTTTTCCTGCTTCTTTAATATATAATTTTGTATGCTACATTCTGAACCAATGTACAGTGGTTTTGACCACTGTATTTCTACAGTTGTTGATGAAATTTGCCAAACCTGAGGCTTCCCAGGAGGACTGGCAGGCCTAGTGGTGACTGCTGGGTTTATGTCACTGGTGGGACCCACTCCTGCCTCACACCAGCTACGTACACACACTTGGTAAACACAGTTAGGTTCAAGATCTGGAATAATGAAGCTATGAATATCAGGTTTTGTCAAAAGATCTCCAGTGTCCTTGACTGTCACATTTGGAATAGTGAAGCTGAGTGTGTCAGAACCTGTCATAAAGTTCCCAGTGGGTTCAGCTGCTCTGACTTTTTGACAAAGTATTTCATATTTGTGGACACTTGAAGCTCCATATTTTGGTTTTGTCCAGTAAATAGTTATATTATCATGTGAACTTTTTTCACTGTCAACTAGAGGCATACCAGGTGCAGAAGGAAGTTCATAACTCCCATTGAGGAGACAATCATGCCTGTAAAGTTGTATATGAGCCTGATAGTCAGATGTTTCAGAAAAATTAACTGCCACTATGAAGGCAGTTCCAATTCTTTCTTTGTTAGATGCATAAAAGTTTCTAAAAAGTATGGCTTTTTTCATCATTGAGATTTCATCAGCTTCATAATTGGTTAGCAATGTGTTCTCACTGTTTCTTTCATCAGTTGAATGATCATTGTCAGGGTCATATTCATTTCTATTATACATTTCCATTTTAGCAAGAAAATCATACTTGTTTGGCCTGAGAATGTTAAAACAAAGAGTGTAGTCATTGTCTAGACTCATTTTTATCGAGTCTAAATCACCAGAAGCAAACTTTATCTCTGAAAATATTTTGATATATTTACTGAGTATGTGTACAAGTTTTTCCTCATCTTGAACCCATGCTTGTAGTTCATGATAGTTGAATGAAGATGCTTCTTTCTTCTTGAGAAGGTCTGCCAAACAGGATTCCTCAGCACTACCACTTTTGATGCTGGGTAGCAATACTGACAGTTGTCTTTGGAGTTTGCACTTGTATATGGCAATCAATGATTTAAATTTACATATTTCATTCTGGATATCAACATTTTGTTTTACAGCAAAAGAATTACACAAATCATTGCACCTCACAGTCAACTCATGGAGGTGTTCAAAAACGTCTTCTGTGTCATTAATCAAATCTGCATTTATCTCCACGAAACAATACACTGGCTCTACTATACAGTAGTGTAAGAGGATACAGTGTAACTGTAACTGGTACAGCATTTTGCCCTTGTCCTAAAAGTTTTGGTATTTCCTTATAGATCTTAACAGCATCTTGATAGGAGAAAGTATGTTCTGGTAGCAGAAAATCTCCAATAAATGTGCAGGTAAAATTTTCTACTTTTTTCTTTTCACTTTCAGAAATATTTACATCCCCTTTACTATTGATTTCCAATTTTGGTATTAACTTCACCATATCATGCAGATCTTCAGGAGCCTCCATATTATTTGAAGAGGAAGCAAAATTTCTCTCAAAAACAAAAATAGCCTGTGCCCCATAAAGTATTCCTGTAACGACATGTGTGGCAGTCTCATGATCAAGTACCTCTGGGTATTGCACGTTTCCTTGACCAAGTTGCTCCATTGTCATTTCCTCCGACTTGGTGGTGCATTTGTACTGCAAAGCGACTCTCTCATGGTGGTTCGAAGTCTTTCTGTTGTCTAGATAGTTAGCAGATCCAGACACACTCAGCAGACCTCCAAGAAAGCTCAATTTCTGATTTGCATTTACTTCAAGGGCTGAAGCTTTGGCTTCCAAAGAGTCAGATGTAATTATGGAGAAATGAGAAGTCTCATGATGTTGAGTAAGTTTTCGTTCCAATTTCGATTTGTCCCACAGAGTTATTCCCTGAATTAATTTCTCATTCCTACAGTCATAAAGCATCCCGAGATGAAAAGGACGGCCAAGTGCAGCAATACACATGACTTTATCACTTGAGGAAGACATCTTGCATCACAGCTCTGCCACCCAGAAGCTTTTATCAATGGTTGTGACACCAGAGGCAGTGACTTAGGTCTTGATGATGATTCTGATACTACTGAGGCAGCAACATGTAGAGCTGAAATATATAAAGCAAAATATAGTCAAATTATATTAAGTTATAACATTCCACAATGTACATTCTTTACAAGATTTTTATTTACACATAAAGATGTTCCAGGATTTACTACATTACCAAATCTTTTCAAATTTCATTTTTAAAATTATTCTATGCCTTGAACTCATGTCTGTAAATCTTAGCTCAGTCTGACCTAAAGGTCAAGAGTTATGACTTAGGTCATTATAAAATGACCTAGGTCATTTTATGACCCATATCATTTTAAGGTCACAGGACAATAAGAATTTACTTAAAATATCATAAGTAGGCTAGTAATCATCATACATCTCTTAACCCTTAGACTGTCCAAACGTAGATCTACGTTTGCGCCGCTAATGCTCCAAATGTAGATCTACTTTCTTTTTTACATTTGAAAGAATTTAAATTAAACCTAGATCTACGTTCGGAGCACTAGCGATGCAAACGTATATCTACATTCAGAGCACTAGCGGTGCAAACATAGATCTACGTTTGAACAGTTGAAGGGTTAAATTCTATACGGGAGCGGAAGAGAAACCTTCCTCTGTAAGCCATGTCATAAATGGCAGCTAAAATATCAGGGCCAAGGGGCTAATAACTCCTTCTCCTGTATAAAAAACTAACTTTAAAAAAACTTTCTTATTTTTCGGTTCATCCTTGCCTCAGTGCGTGACGGCCAATGCGGACAAGATAATTATGCGAAAAAATATGATTTTGGGTTATGTTTACAGAAAAATAGTGTAAGTATCTGGGAACATTTTGGTGAAAACCCCATCGTAATACGATGTTTCTAAAGCAAATTATAGCTACTTGAAACATGTCAGGTGACGACCCGCCAGGTAAATATATGCGTAAGTGCGAGGTGAATTTTTTATATATTTTTGTTTGTTTCTTAATTTTCTGTCTATTTTTCCTTCTAATACACTAAATTTACCACTTAATATCATTGCAATGTGGGAGGAGCTTATATCAGAGGTGGGCAGAGCTTGCATGATGATGCAACAACCAGTTGCCGATGACATCAGTCTGATCACCACTGACAAGATGTCTTATATTGATGCTATTATTACTAATATCTTTTTTCTGCTTATATCACTTATTCAGTAATGATAGTATGCATAATATAACTTGAATAAACACATAAGAAAGCCAGCCAAAATAATATTATTTGCATATTATACCCGGAGAGTGGTGGCTGACCTTGATGAAAGGATTACATTAGATCATCCCTATAAGAGATAGGTTTTCTATGTTACCACTGGTAGCACTACAGAAAATGGAGTACTATACATGGAAAACAATAAGAAATCACTTATATTGCATAAAAATGCCCAAAGCAGCGCGATTTTCGTGATTTTTTTTTTAATTTCTTGACGTAATTAGCTAGTCCGCGCGTTTACCCGAATATCTAGAAACTAGGATTTTCGTCTATTGCTTCTTACTGCACCATTATTAATGATTGTATTGAAATGATTTTCACAGACAATATAAAACAAAGTGTGTTTGACTATTTGAAGGTGCGTTTTTTGGAATATCTCAAATATTTTTGATTTTGTGGGGGATAAAAGGCAGATATTTTTGTGAATGCCAAAAAAGCCTATCAAATGTATTTTTTTTTATTCAAATTCAAATTCAAATTCAAAGTTTATTCTCTATAAGGATTACAATGCTGAGTTTACAAAATTTGGTTATTGTGTGGTTTACATGTAGTAAAATAATAATTACAGAGTGTGCCACTAGAACACCTAGCATGGCTAGGCATTTCGGGCAGACTTAAATTAAATCTTAAGTTTAAAATATTACAAAATTATGAGGTAAGTTGGTATTATGGCTAAGTGACTAAATACTAGTTTGTGAGTTTAGCAATGTGAATGCTTTTGTTTTGGCACTATACATAGTTTCAGTATTGGAGTATCACAGGCCAACTTATGACTAGTTAAGATTCATTATTTTGAGACTGAGATTGATACAGTGGACCCCCGCATACCGTACGCATCACGTAACGTTCAATCCGCATACCGCTCGCTTTTATCGCAAAAATTTTGCCTCGTATACCGCTCAAAAACCCGCTCACCACTCTTCATCCGAGACGCATCCAATGTGCGCCCTTAGCCAGCCTCACATGTGCCGCTGGTGGCATTGTTTACCAGCCAGCCTCCGCGGTAACATCCAAGCATACAATCGGAACATTTCGTATTATTACAGTGTTTTTGGTGATTTTATCTGCAAAATAAGTGACCATGGGCCCCAAGAAAGCTTCTAGTGCCAACCCTACAGCAATAAGGGTGAGAATTACTATAGAGATGAAGAAAAAGATCATTGATAAGTATGAAAGTGGAGTGCGTGTCTCCGAGCTGGCCAGGTTGTATAATAAACCCCAATCAACCATCGCTACTATTGGTGGTACAGCTGCTGCTGCTGCTGTACCACCGTCAGCTGCTGTTGTAGTACCGTCTGCTGCTGCTGTAGCATCGTCTGCTGCTGCTGTAGCACTGTCAGCTGCTGCTGCTGTTGTACCACCGTCAGCTGCTGCTGTAGTACCGTCTGCTGCTGCTGTAGCACTGTCAGCTGCTGCTGCTGCTGCTGTAGCACCGTTGTTGGTGTGGCTTATTGAGAATACCAAGAAACAATTAACCCCAGAGGATTTGCCACCCAGGATAACCCAAAAAAGTCAGTGTCATCGAAGACTGTCTAACTTATTTCCATTGGGGTCCTTAATCTTGTCTCCCAGGATGCAACCCGCACCAGTCGACTAACACCCAGGTGAACAGGGAAAAATGCCTGGAACTAGTGCTCATATTGGTGAATTTAAAGCCAGCAAAGGTTGGTTTGAGAGATTTAAGAATTGTAGTGGCATACACAGTGTGATAAGGCCTGTTCTGGAATAAAATGCCAAACAGGACCTACAGTACTCAGGAGGAAAAGGCACTCCCAGGACACAGTGTCTCATCAGTCATTGCTGCATCTTCAATAAAGGTAAGTGTCATTTATTCTTCATTTAGTAGAGTAGTACATGCACAATATATATTGTGCATGTACTACTCTACTATTGTGCATGTATCCTTCTCTTTGTGTGTAGGAAAATGTATATTTCATGTGGTAAAAATTTTTTTTTCATACTTTTGGGTGTCTTGCACTGATTAATTTGATTTCCATTATTTCTTATGGGGAAAATTCATTCGCATACCGATCATTTCGCATAACAATGAGCCCTCTTGCACGGATTAAAGTCGCTATGCGGGGGTCCACTGTATTTCTGTTTATGGTCAAATGGGTGAGTGAGTGTAAGTGTTAACCACCAGGTGGTATTCGTGTAATTAGTTGACAGGGTGTATCAGGGAGATAAGATGTTTTCTGATGGTAGTTTTGAAGGTGATGAATGTGTCTGCAGTTTTAGAATTTTCAGGTAGGGTGTTCCAGATTTTAGGGCCTTTGACATACATTGAATTTTTGTAAAGGTTTAGTCGGACACGAGGAATGTCATAGAGATGTTTGTGTCTGGTGTTGTGCCTGTGGGTTCTGTCGCAACTATCAAGAAAGCGTTTTAGGTCAAGGTTAATATTGGAATTTAAGGTCCTGTAGATGTAGATTGCACAGTAGTAAGTGTGGATGTACTGAACAGGGAGTAAGTTTAGATCTATGAAGAGTGGGGGGGGTGTGTTGCCAGGGATGGGATTTAGTGATTATTCTTACTGCGGCTTTTTGTTGGGTTATTATTGGCTTTAGGTGTGTTGCTGCAGTTGAACCCCAAGCACAGATAGCATAGGTGAGGTATGGATATATAAGTGAATGGTATAGTGTGAGAAGGGCAGTTTGCGGCACGTAGTATCGTATCTTGGAGAGGATCCCAACTGTTTTGGATACTTTTTTGGTTTTATTATTTTTTAATTTTATTATCACACCGGCCGATTCCCACCAAGGCAGGGTGGCCCGAAAAAGAAAAACTTTCACCATCATTCACTCCATCACTGTCTTGCCAGAAGGGTGCTTTACACTACAGTTTTTAAACTGCAACATTAACACCCCTCCTTCAGAGTGCAGGCACTGTACTTCCCATCTCCAGGACTCAAGTCCGGCCTGCCGGTTTCCCTGAATCCCTTCATAAATGTTACTTTGCTCACACTCCAACAGCACGTCAAGTATTAAAAACCATTTGTCTCCATTCACTCCTATCAAACACGCTCACGCATGCCTGCTGGAAGTCCAAGCCCCTCGCACACAAAACCTCCTTTACCCCCTCCCTCCAACCCTTCCTAGGCCGACCCCTACCCCGCCTTCCTTCCACTACAGACTGATACACTCTTGAAGTCATTCTGTTTCGCTCCATTCTCTCTACATGTCCGAACCACCTCAACAACCCTTCCTCAGCCCTCTGGACAACAGTTTTGGTAATCCCGCACCTCCTCCTAACTTCAAAACTACGAATTCTCTGCATTATATTCACACCACACATTGCCCTCAGACATGACATCTCCACTGCCTCCAGCCTTCTCCTCGCTGCAACATTCATCACCCACGCTTCACACCCATATAAGAGCGTTGGTAAAACTATACTCTCATACATTCCCCTCTTTGCCTCCAAGGACAAAGTTCTTTGTCTCCACAGACTCCTAAGTGCACCACTCACTCTTTTTCCCTCATCAATTCTATGATTCACCTCATCTTTCATAGACCCATCCGCTGACACGTCCACTCCCAAATATCTGAATACGTTCACCTCCTCCATACTCTCTCCCTCCAATCTGATATTCAATCTTTCATCACCTAATCTTTTTGTTATCCTCATAACCTTACTCTTTCCTGTATTCACCTTTAATTTTCTTCTTTTGCACACCCTACCAAATTCATCCACCAATCTCTGCAACTTCTCTTCAGAATCTCCCAAGAGCACAGTGTCATCAGCAAAGAGCAGCTGTGACAACTCCCACTTTGTGTGTGATTCTTTATCTTTTAACTCCACGCCTCTTGCCAAGACCCTCGCATTTACTTCTCTTACAACCCCATCTATAAATATATTAAACAACCACGGTGACATCACACATCCTTGTCTAAGGCCTACTTTTACTGGGAAAAAATTTCCCTCTTTCCTACATACTCTAACTTGAGCCTCACTATCCTCGTAAAAACTCTTCACTGCTTTCAGTAACCTACCTCCTACACCATACACTTGCAACATCTGCCACATTGCCCCCCTATCCACCCTGTCATACGCCTTTTCCAAATCCATAAATGCCACAAAGACCTCTTTAGCCTTATCTAAATACTGTTCACTTATATGTTTCACTGTAAACACCTGGTCCACACACCCCCTACCTTTCCTAAAGCCTCCTTGTTCATCTGCTATCCTATTCTCCGTCTTACTCTTAATTCTTTCAATTATAACTCTACCATACACTTTACCAGGTACACTCAACAGACTTATCCCCCTATAATTTTTGCACTCTCTTTTATCCCCTTTGCCTTTATACAAAGGAACTATGCATGCTCTCTGCCAATCCCTAGGTACCTTACCCTCTTCCATACATTTATTAAATAATTGCACCAACCACTCCAAAACTATATCCCCACCTGCTTTTAACATTTCTATCTTTATCCCATCAATCCCGGCTGCCTTACCCCCTTTCATTTTACCTACTGCCTCACGAACTTCCCCCACACTCACAACTGGCTCTTCCTCACTCCTACAAGATGTTATTCCTCCTTGCCCTATACACGAAATCACAGCTTCCCTATCTTCATCAACATTTAACAATTCCTCAAAATATTCCTTCCATCTTCCCAATACCTCTAACTCTCCATTTAATAACTCTCCTCTCCTATTTTTAACTGACAAATCCATTTGTTCTCTAGGCTTTCTTAACTTGTTAATCTCATTCCAAAACTTTTTCTTATTTTCAACAAAATTTGTTGATAACATCTCACCCACTCTCTCATTTGCTCTCTTTTTACATTGCTTCACCACTCTCTTAACTTCTCTCTTTTTCTCCATATACTCTTCCCTCCTTGCATCACTTCTACTTTGTAAAAACTTCTCATATGCTAACTTTTTCTCCCTTACTACTCTCTTTACATCATCATTCCACCAATCGCTCCTCTTCCCTCCTGCACCCACTTTCCTGTAACCACAAACTTCTGCTGAACACTCTAACACTACATTTTTAAACCTACCCCATACCTCTTCGACCCCATTGCCTATGCTCTCATTAGCCCATCTATCCTCCAATAGCTGTTTATATCTTACCCTAACTGCCTCCTCTTTTAGTTTATAAACCTTCACCTCTCTCTTCCCTGATGCTTCTATTCTCCTTGTATCCCATCTACCTTTTACTCTCAGTGTAGCTACAACTAGAAAGTGATCTGATATATCTGTGGCCCCTCTATAAACATGTACATCCTGAAGTCTACTCAACAGTCTTTTATCTACCAATACATAATCCAACAAACTACTGTCATTTCGCCCTACATCATATCGTGTATACTTATTTATCCTCTTTTTCTTAAAATATGTATTACCTATAACTAAACCCCTTTCTATACAAAGTTCAATCAAAGGGCTCCCATTATCATTTACACCTGCACCCCAAACTTACCTACCACACCCTCTCTAAAAGTTTCTCCTACTTTAGCATTCAAGTCCCCTACCACAATTACTCTCTCACTTGGTTCAAAGGCTCCTATACATTCACTTAACATCTCCCAAAATCTCTCTCTCTCCTCTGCATTCCTCTCTTCTCCAGGTGCATACACGCTTATTATGACCCACTTCTCGCATCCAACCTTTACTTTAATCCACATAATTCTTGAATTTACACATTCATATTCTCTTTTCTCCTTCCATAACTGATCATTTAACATTACTGCTACCCCTTCCTTTGCTCTAACTCTCTCAGATACTCCAGATTTAATCCCATTTATTTCCCCCCACTGAAACTCTCCTACCCCCTTCAGCTTTGTTTCACTTAGGGCCAGGACATCCAACTTCTTTTCATTCATAACATCAGCAATCATCTGTTTCTTGTCATCCGCACTACATCCACGCACATTTAAGCAACCCAGTTTTATAAAGTTTTCTTCTTCTCTTTTTAGTAATTGTATACAGGTGAAGGGGTTACTAGCTCATTGCTCCCGGCATTTTAGTCGCCTCATACGACACGCATGGCTTACGGAGGAAAGATTCTTTTCCACTTCCCCATGGACAATAGAAGAAATAAAAAAGAACAAGAGCTATTTAGAAAAAGGAGAAAAACCTAGATGTATGTATATATATATATGCATGTGCGTGTCTGTGAAGTGTGACCAAAGTGTAAGTAGGAGTAGCAAGATATCCCTGTTATCTTAGCGTGTTTATGAGACAGAAAAAGAAACCAGCAATCCTACCATCATGCAAAACAGTTACAGGTTTTTGTTTCACAGTCATCTGGCAGGACGGTAGTACTTCCCTGGGTGGTTGCTGTCTACCAACCTACTACCTGGTTATGTGTTGGATATGGGTGCTGAAGTTCAGGTTGTTGTCGAGGTATAGGCCTAGGAATTTGCCCTCATTATGCCTGGCAATTAGAGTGTTGTCGATCTTAATGTTAATTTGTGCATCTCCTGCTCTGCTACCAAACATAATGTAGTAGGTTTTGTCAGTGTTAAGCGTAAGTTTATTGGCTGTCATCCAAGTCAATATTTTGATCAGCTCCTCGTTAACAATGGTGTTGAGGGTGGCAAGATTAGGGTGAGAGATGACGTAAGTCGTGTCGTCAGCAAAGAGAATGGAGTTCAGGTGTTGAGATACATTTGGAAGATCATTGATGTATATGAGGAAGAGCAGGGGACCATGATAATAAGATATATTAGATAATAAGATATATTAGATGAAATAGATACACCAAAAGGTTGTGTTAGACGTATTCTAACAGTTGGGATTGTTGGAAGTGCCACTCCTAGTGCCAATTTGTCACATCATGCTGCCATATGTCAAAATCAGTAAATATTTTTTTATCTGTTGTTTGTTGGCCAATCATACTGAAACTTTGTCACATTCATTTGCATATGCACTTCTAAACATACACCAAAAATAAAAGAAATCGGGTGAAAAATAAAGAAGGTGTCATCAGAGGTTGAGACACCAGTAGCTTTCTTTTATGCCTAACAACATTTTATTACATGTAAATTACACTATCTGTGTACTGCATAACAATAAATAAAGTTTTGAATCTGAATTTATATACAGCCTCTCCACACTTAGCAACGTACTCAATTACCGACGCCTCAGACTTATGATGGGTTCCCTGACCAGTGTCCATATCTAAATAATGTATATTAGAGCTGTTTTCCTCTATTCTGCTTATTACAATATACAATACACTACTGTATAAACACTTAAAAATATACCAGAAATGTTATGAATGTTGCAAAGGTGGCATTAAAGCAAAATCGAAGATGGTTGACGCAAACCCACTACAGTTATAGTATGCTCCTCACTTAGCGATGAATTCGTTTACCAATGTGGTCTTTGGAACAGAACTCCATCGTTAACCCTTTCACTGTCAGTGTCGTATTAGGACAGCTTACAAGCCAGTGTTGGTTCCGTATTAATATGCCAAAAATTCTAAAGGCTTAAAAACTAGCAGGAGAAAGCTGGTAGACCTACATGTGAGAGAATGGGTCTGCATAGTCTGTGTGCACAGCATAAAAAAAATCCTGCAGCATGCAGTGCATAATGAGAAAAAAAATCGGTGTTTTTGGTTTAAAACGCTAACTTTGAGGTGTATTTTCGTATGGTATTTATGGTTGTATTCTCATTTTCTTGGTCTCATTTGATAAAATGGAAGACATACTGTAGAAACTGAGATGATTTTGATTAGTTTCACGATGAACAGTACCTTGAAATTGAGTTCAAAGTAGCGGAAATGTTCGATTTTTGCCAATGTTCAAGAGTAAACAAATGATGTCACCATCCAATACGTGTCCAACTGGCAAGTCTCATATACAATCATGAATGGGATGACATTATTTATACAATTATTACAATAATGCACTAGTCTGCTTAACAGTAAATCTTCTATTTTTTGTGTGAATAAAAATTCAAAATGGAAAGCAAGAGTAATATAAGAGAGGCTTGGAGCCATGATTAATAAACAGAGAAAATTTATTTTAGTGCCAGGAATGTCTGAATTGTTTATTCTGGATCCTATTTTGAAATTTGCATGAAAATGACCAAATTGCCAATTTCTGACAACTTTATTTGGTAATTTAAATCGGTAAATGGGCGGTTTCTTGTACTCAATCGATAGAACAAATGGAGTTCCAGTGAAATAGCTGTGAGTTTGGTTGACTGGAACAATGGAATTGGCCAAAAATAGGGCTGAAACCACTAACTTCGTGAGAGTGTAACTCCGTAAGTTTTCCATCAAATTTCGTACTTTTGGTGTCATTACCATCGGGAAAAGATTCTCTATCATTTCATAAGATTTTTTTTTTTTTTTTTAATTCTTCAACACTGAGAGCAAGTTTGTGAGCAGGGGCCTTGACAGTGAAAGGGTTAAGTGAGGAGAGACTGTATTGGGAATAAGTAGAGTAAAAGAATTCGTTATAAATTTTATTCCACTAGGTCACTGGTATTCATTGTGTGGCTCGCGAGCCACCAGCGGCTTGCGAGCCACTATTAATAGCAAGATATGCAGGCTAATATTACCATGTCTAATTTTTCTCATTTACTATATTGCACTAGCAGCTCAGTACTACTTAATTTAGTTGAGTTACGCTAACTTGCAGTAGCTGCGGCTCTCTCAATCAATGTGTTTAACCGAAGTGGCTCTCTTGCAAAAATTAGTGAATAACACTGCACTAAGTACAAAACTGATATTTAACTCACTGATCTATTCCAGAGTCCCTCTATGACCTCTTGTGCATCATTACACAAAAAATTACCTAAAAATAAAGAAAATGTATAATTAACAGTAGAAATTTTCATTTTATGCATCAACATATTATTTTTTTTTTTTATTATCACACTGGCCGATTCCCACCAAGGCAGGGTGGCCCGAAAAAGAAAAACTTTCACCATCATTCACTCCATCACTGTCTTGCCAGAAGGGTGCTTTACACTACAGTTTTTAAACTGCAACATTAACACCCCTCCTTCAGAGTGCAGGCACTGTACTTCCCATCTCCAGGACTCAAGTCCGGCCTGCCGGTTTCCCTGAATCCCTTCATAAATGTTACTTTGCTCACACTCCAACAGCACGTCAAGTATTAAAAACCATTTGTCTCCATTCACTCCTATCAAACACGCTCACGCATGCCTGTTGGAAGTCCAAGCCCCTCGCACACAAAACCTCCTTTACCCCCTCCCTCCAACCCTTCCTAGGCCGACCCCTACTCCGCCTTCCTTCCACTACAGACTGATACACTCTTGAAGTCATTCTGTTTCGCTCCATTCTCTCTACATGTCCGAACCACCTCAACAACCCTTCCTCAGCCCTCTGGACAACAGTTTTGGTAATCCTCCTAACTTCCAAACTACGAATTCTCTGCATTATATTCACACCACACATTGCCCTCAGACATGACATCTCCACTGCCTCCAGCCTTCTCCTCGCTGCAACATTCATCACCCACGCTTCACACCCATATAAGAGCGTTGGTAAAACTATACTCTCATACATTCCCCTCTTTGCCTCCAAGGACAAAGTTCTTTGTCTCCACGAATCCTAAGTGCACCACTCACTCTTTTTCCTCATCAATTCTATGATTCACCTCATCTTTCATAGACCCATCCGCTGACACGTCCACTCCCAAATATCTGAATACGTTCACCTCCTCCATACTCTCTCCCTCCAATCTGATATTCAATCTTTTATCACCTAATCTTTTTGTTATCCTCATAACCTTACTCTTTCCTGTATTCACCTTTAATTTTCTTCTTTTGCACACCCTACCAAATTCATCCACCAATCTCTGCAGCTTCTCTTCAGATCTCCCAAGAGCACAGTGTCATCAGCAAAGAGCAGCTGTGACAACTCCCACTTTGTGTGTGATTCTTTATCTTTTAACTCCACGCCTCTTGCCAAGACCCTTGCATTTACTTCTCTTACAACCCCATCTATAAATATATTAAACAACCATGGTGACATCACACATCCTTGTCTAAGGCCTACTTTTACTGGGAAAAAATTTCCCTCTTTCCTACATACTCTAACTTGAGCCTCACTATCCTCGTAAAAACTCTTCACTGCTTTCAGTAACCTACCCCTACACCATACACTTGCAACATCTGCCACATTGCCCCCCTATCCACCCTGTCATACGCCTTTTCCAAATCCAATAAATGCCACAAAGACCTCTTTAGCCTTATCTAAATACTGTTCACTTATATGTTTCACTGTAAACACTGGTCCACACACCCCCTACCTTTCCTAAAGCCTCCTTGTTCATCTGCTATCCTATTCTCCGTCTTACTCTTAATTCTTTCAATTATAACTCTACCATACACTTTACCAGGTACACTCAACAGACTTATCCCCCTATAATTTTTGCACTCTCTTTTATCCCCTTTGCCTTTATACAAAGGAACTATGCATGCTCTCTGCCAATCCCTAGGTACCTTACCCTCTTCCATACATTTATTAAATAATTGCACCAACCACTCCAAAACTATATCCCCACCTGCTTTTAACATTTCTATCTTTATCCCATCAACTCCGGCTGCCTTACCCCCTTTCATTTTACCTACTGCCTCACGAACTTCCCCCACACTCACAACTGGCTCTTCCTCACTCCTACAAGATGTTATTCCTCCTTGCCCTATACACGAAATCACAGCTTCCCTATCTTCGTCAACATTTAACATTCCTCAAAATATTCCCTCCATCTTCCCAATACCTCTAACTCTCATTTAATAACTCTCCTCTCCTATTTTTAACTGACAAATCCATTTGTTCTCTAATCTTTCTTAACTTGTTAATCTCACTCCAAAACTTTTTCTTATTTTCAACAAAATTTGTTGATAACATCTCACCCACTCTCTCATTGCTCTCTTTTTACATTGCTTCACCACTCTCTTAACCTCTCTCTTTTTCTCCATATACTCTTCCCTCCTTGCATCACTTCTACTTTGTAAAAAACTTCTCATATGCTAACTTTTTCTCCCTTACTACCTCTCTTTACATCATCATTCCCCAATCGCTCTCTTCCTCCTGCACCCACTTCCTGTAACCACAAACTTCTGCTGAACACTCTAACACTACATTTTTAAACCTACCCCATACCTCTTTGACCCATTGCCTATGCTCTCATTAGCCCATCTATCCTCCAATAGCTGTTTATTCTTACCCTAACTGCCTCCTCTTTTAGTTTATAAACCTTCACCTCTCTCTTCCCTGATGCTTCTATTCTCCTTGTATCCCATCTACCTTTTACTCTCAGTGTAGCTACAACTAGAAAGTGATCTGATATATCTGTGGCCCCTCTATAAACATGTACATCCTGAAGTCTACTCAACAGTCTTTTATCTACCAATACATAATCCAACAAAATACTGTCATTTCGCCCTACATCATATCGTGTATACTTATTTATCCTCTTTTCTTAAAATATGTATTACCTATAACTAAACCCCTTTCTATACAAAGTTCAATCAAAGGGCTCCCATTATCATTTACACCTGGCACCCCAAACTTACCTACCACACCCTCTCTAAAAGTTTCTCCTACTTTAGCATTCAGGTCCCTACCACAATTACTCTCTCACTTGGTTCAAAGGCTCCTATACATTCACTTAACATCTCCCAAAATCTCTCTCTCTCTCCTCTGCATTCCTCTCTTCTCCAGGTGCATACACGCTTATTATGACCCACTTCTCGCATCCAACCTTTACTTTAATCCACATAATTCTTGAATTTACACATTCATATTCTCTTTTCTCCTTCCATAACTGATCATTTAACATTACTGCTACCCCTTCCTTTGCTCTAACTCTCTCAGATACTCCAGATTTAATCCATTTATTTCCCCCACTGAAACTCTCCTACCCCCTTCAGCTTTGTTTCGCTTAGAGCCAGGACATCCAACTTCTTTTCATTCATAACATCAGCAATCATCTGTTTCTTGTCATCCGCACTACATCCACGCACATTTAAGCATCCCAGTTTTATAAAGTTTTTCTTCTTCTCTTTTTTAGTAAATGTATACAGGAGAAGGGGTTACTAGCCCATTGCTCCCGGCATTTTAGTCGCCTCATACGACACGCATGGCTTACGGAGGAAAGATTCTTTTCCACTTCCCATGGACAACATATTGTGTTTTTAATATATCGGTGTTTAACTTTTCCAAAGTTAACAAGTCACATGAAAAAGACCGAGCATAAGGTTTTTAAAATGCATTCATAATGTCTATTTAGGGATTTTACTTCCCTGGGAAGGCTAGTAGCTGACTCAGCTGGGGTATGTGTGATGGCATCTGGTTTAATACAGCCAAAGTTACAGTGTCTTATAAACTAACAACAATTAATACTCCCACACTAATTTAATACAATACAAAAGAATTTTTGTTGCATTTATGGCTTAGGAGGAGACATATTGATAGAATGGATAAGGGACCAATGTGGCAGATGCAGAAAGTGTATGGAATAGGTAGTACGTTATTGAAAGCAGTTAAGTGTTTCTATGAGGATAGTAAGGCTCAGGTTAGGGTATGTAGGAAAGAGGGATTTTATTTTCCAGTAAAAGCAGGCATGAGGCAGAGATGCATGATTTCACCATGGTTGCTTAATAGATGGAACTGCAAAAGAAGTGAATGAAAGGGTGTTGGGGAAAGGTGCAGGATTGGAAGATAACAACTCCAACACAAAGTGAAAATTGTCACAGTTGCTTTTTGCTGATGACACAGTGCTTTTGGGAGATTCTGAAGAGAAGTTGCAGAGGTTGGTGGATGAGTTTGGTAGGGTATGTAAAAGAAGGAAATTAAAAGTGAACACAGCTCCCTCACTACCACCACCACCCAGGGAACAACAACCTCCCTCACCACCACCACCCAGGGAACAACAACCTCCCTCACTACCACCACCACCCAGGGAACAACAACCTCAACATTTTTTTGGACTCATTTGATAGAATGGAAGATATATTACAGAAACAGACATGATTTTGATTGCTTTCATGATGAAAAGTACCTTGAAATTGAGCTCAAAGTAGAGGAAATGTTTGATTTTTGCCGATGTTCAGTGAACTTTGTGTAAGTCAAGTTGGTTAATTTTGTTAAGTGTATTCTAACCTAACCACTCTGTAATTCGCCAAACTCAGTAATCCGGCACACTACAGGTCCCAATGATGCCAGATTTGCGATGGAGGACCTGTACCTGGCTTGGGCTTGCGATATATGATTTTTGGTAAATATTTTTTTTTTCTCAGTTGTTTGTTGGGCTATCTCATTGAAACTTGGGCAATGTATGATGGAAAGATGCTTCTTGGTGTACAACAAAAATAAAAAAGATGGACGACAAATAAGGGAGTTCACTTCTCAGCCATTAGCCGCCTCTTTGCAGTATATTTTCGTATGGTTTTTATGGTTGTATTCTCATTTTTTTGGACTCATTTGATAGAATGGAAGATATATTATGGAAATAGACATGATTTTGATTGCTTTCATGACGAACTTTGTGTAAGTCAAGTTGGTTCAATTTTATTAAGTGTATTCTAACCTAACCACTCTGTAATTCGGCAAACTCAGTAATCCAGCACACTACAGGTTCCAATGATTCCGGATTTATGATGGAGGACCTGTACTCAACACTCAATATTTAACATTACCAATAATTCTCCCAATTATTTAAATCTTAAAAATTCAAGACAACATATAGCAAATTGATCATCTTTTGTTATACATTGTAATGTGACAAATTTACCCAACTATAATGCTTCAGTATCAATATGT